CGCCCGGCTCTGCGGGCGGCTCTTCCTGGCCGCGCTCCTGCGAGGAAATGGCATCTGCGAACTTCGTCGGAGGCCACAGCAGGCATCTTGGCCTCGCAGCCAGGGATCTGAAAGAGGAACGTAGGATCCGAGAAAACTTTGTAAGCGGGAGCTGGAGAGTTCTCGGCCGGCTTGTGGAGATCCACGTTCCCCGACTCGGTGTCCGTGGTCTGGACACCTGTTTGTTGAATGCCCCAACTTCAAGTTTTAATGACGACTCTTCAGGAAAGAGCGATGAGGACTTTAATACAAGAGAGGAGGGTGGGTAGGAGCGGTGAGAAGACTGGACCTGATTTAGACGTTACATTTTAGGAGAAGGAACCCCAGTGTGATAGTACATTGGATTTGGTCACTGATTCACACCCATCAGTTGGGCTGTGTGACCTGAAGCAACCTAGGTAACCTCTCTGAGTTATGATCTTTAAAAGGCAGTGGAGCTGCATCTCTGAGGTCTCTTCTAGTTCTGACATTCTTTGACTTACTTTTACAAAACTGTTGTCCCTGTTTGTTGTTAGGTTTTCCAGTAATCCTACGAAAGAGAATCTGTAGGTGCAGGCTCTAATATTCAATCAGGTGAGACACTGGGCTTATTTTGATGTTAGAATCACTGAAAAGCACTCATTCATATGAGGACTAACCACAAACAAAAGGAGTCTCATCCCTGCGGAGACAAGACTCAAAACTCACTCAACTGCACATACAGTATCAGAAAAAAACAGAAGTAAACATGAAGCCAATGTATAGTCTTAGCAACTACATAATAGCCAAGCACTATAGCCTCAGAATCCGCTTTAAAAGGATAGGGTATGTCCGGGGGACAAATTTTACCCTTTCTCTAGTAAGTTTTGAGAAAATTTCTCATTAGAAGATCCAGACTAGGATAGGCTGGGGAAAATTTTGTACAGCAGGCACATCGAAAGAGAAGCCCATCCTCCTCCCCACCCCACCCCCCAGCAGCTAGAATGTAAGCTCCATGCAGGCAGGAATTTTATCCAGTTCACTGCTGTATCCTCTGGTACCTAACAATGACTGGCAAGTGTTCACATTTTGTTGTTGTTGTTGAATGAATGCATGAATAAACAGACTGGAAGGGGCCCTGGGATGACAGGATTGACAGGGTTTTGTTAGAGTGTGATAAAGCCTAAGCTAATTCTGTGATAAAGCAAATTGGGTCTTACACATATACCTTACAGGGTTGTTGAGAGATGTACTTTGGAAATATCAGTCATTACGGAAATGTAGAGTTTTCTTTATATAAACCTTAGTGCAAGGAGAGTGGTTGAGCAAAATCATTGCTAAGAGATTTTGAATTCTTTATTGTAATTCCCTAAAGCTAGAGACTCACATAATATGTAAATCAAGAGAAACAAATTGGCCTCTTTTTAATGATTCATCAAGAATAAAAAGACCATCTTACCCGGTGATGGATTTTTAGATCAATTTGACTTCCAAATTCTGACTACTTACTTGTTACATGCCAGACTTGGAGGGCATTCTAAAATTTCAGATTCCCAAACCCCTCCCCAGATTTACTGAGTCAGGATTGTTGAGAATGAGGTCCGGAAATCTGTCTTTAAATGCTCTCTATGTGATTCTACAGCAATGAGAATTGTGCATGATAATTCCTTATGCCTCCAGTATGACGGAATCCTAACAAAAATATCCCTTCACTTTGCTGTTGTAGTCTTTATCCATTATGCTTGGTTATGAATTCCAGAATTCATCTTTACTCCCTCTTTCATACAGAGAAATTCAGGGAAATCTATTGTTGGTGGGCTTACCCCACTGTTTAAAAATACATGCCTGGTCATGCCTAAAACTCAGTAGAAAGCACAGCTTAGGGTCAGCAAACTTTTTCTATGGAGGGCCAGATAATAAATATTATAGATTTCACAGGCCCTGTGTTCTCTGTCACAACTACTCAACTCTGCCATTGTAGTAGGAAATCAATCATAGGCAATGTGTAAACAAGTGAGTATGGCTGTGTTCCAATAAAACTTTATTTATAAAAACAGGCAGTGTACTGAATTTGGCCCAGAGATTAATCTGCTGACTCCTAGACTAGAGGTTGGATCACATAATTGACTTTTGAGCTCGGGACAGGCCTAGGCTGCAGATATAAATGAAGGAGGCATTACCTAAAAATGGATAAGCTACCCAGGATCAATGAGAAATGAGAGCCAAGGACGGAATACAGGGAAATACTGATATTTTATTTTTATTTTATTGGGTTTTATTTATTTGAGAGAGACAGCACAAGCGAGTGGGGCGGAGGAGGGGCAGAGAGAGAAGGACAAGCAGACTTCCCATTGAGCCCGACTGCCTCAGGCAGGCGTGCAGTGGGGTGGGGAGTGGCTCTATCCCAGGACTCTGAGATCATTACCTGAGCCAAAGTCATATGCTTAACCGACTGAGCCACCCAGTCACACCAACACTGACATTTTAAAGGATGGGTAGAGATAGAGGAACCTGTAAAGGAAATGGAGAATGAATGAAAAATGAAAAAACGGGAGTGTTAGGGCAATCGAAAAAAAAAGAGAGAGAGAGAAACGATCGACATTATGACATGCCGCAGAGAGAAGTACTCATTTCTGTCAGCAGCCATCCGTGGCCTGGAATCTACTAAACGCCTGTTTCATATATTTTGAAGTATTGAATTTATAGTTTTTGCCTTAAATATATTACATCTCAAACTTTGCCTGTTTGTGTTGTGGAGGGTAACAGTGGTGTGTTTAAGTATAAAGACTGATACAAGTTGGTGTAGATTTACATGTAAACTTTTTTTTCAGAAAAAAAAATCCTGTTTTATTTTCAAACATTTAAAATCATAAATGTGTTTAAAATTGAATAGAAATAGAAAACCCAATTCTAGGTGTTTGGGAGTTTTGCAACATTGGTTTGAATCCTTCCACGATATAGTTACAAACGTGGTCAGTTTAGCAACCTCTATACATTGGTCAACCACCAGGAGCCCTTTGTTGACAAATATGGATGGGCCATTAAAAGCTCAAAATTGAGAGAATCACAACAGCAAAATTTGGGGGATGTCTTAATGAGTCAGGATTCAATCCAGACACAAAACCACACAGTAATTTGAATAGGGTTAAGTTTAATATAAAGAACTATTAACTACAGCAGGAGACTACCGTAGGGAGGGATTGGAGAGTAAGAAGTCAAAAGAAGGCTAAAGAATCTGGGAAAAGCAGGGGCACCTGGCTGGCTCCAACGGGAGAGCATGTGACTCTTGATCTCGGGGTGCTGAGTTCGAGCCTCACGTTGGGTGCAGAGATTACTTAAATAAATACATAATTTAAAAAAAAAGTGGGAAAAGCAGGTCTGAGGAGGAGCCACTCCCCTTAAGGCTGAGATGGAGCACCCAAAGAAGAGGGCCCTCCCTCTCCAGGCTGAGATTCTGACCTTAGCGGAGAGTGCCAGAGGAAGCTGTGGACTCGGGTCCTGCGTGTACTGCAGGAGCCTGGCCCTGAATGAGTTGCCAGCACTACAGAAGCTGGACGCTGGAGAAGATGTGGGTGCTGCAGGAGGGCACCAAGAGGAGCAACTGTAACAGGAAGGAAAACCCCTTCCTCCTGCACCCACTATGACAAAGTATAACATCATGCTAGCTGACAAAGGAAGAATATTTAAGGGGTCTATCTTAATTTTTGCAGAGCAGGCAGTGAAGGCTAAAGCGGGGTTGAGAGGCAACAGACTGATTATTCACACAATGCTCGCGTGCACTTTAACCTAGGAAAGCTCCCTAAGTGACCTCCTATCAACAGCACCTCTGGTTCTGGAATAGGCTCTATTAAAAAAAAAAAAAAAAAAAAAGGTGTTTTCCAAATTTTTGCTATCTTGTCCTAAATGTATATTTATTTTCAAGGCAATGAAATACGGGGCAAAGTTTAACTTCAAAATACCCTTGAAGTCATTCTCTTTAACCTCTTACATCCCATCCATTAATTTTATAAATTCCATAAATTTATAAGTTCCAAAAATTTATAAATTCCAAAATCCTAAATATTTCTCAGATGTGTTCATTCTCTATTCTTGCGGCTACCACCCAATTCCAGCCACAATCATTTCTCTCTTTTCTAGACTAATACACTAATCACACAATAGTTTCCCCCCCGCATTCACCCTAACCTCCATTCAAATCCATTTTCCACTCGGTAGCCAGAATGCTCCTTTTTATTTTGAAATAATTTTAGATGCACAAGAGGAACAGGGAAGGCCTGTGCGTT